GAGAGAGAGAGAGAGAGAGAGAGAGAGAGAGAGAGAGAGAGAGAGAGGCTTCTCATCCAATTCCAGGATAACTTCTCTGGCCTGGTCATGTCCAGATGTATTGGATTATAATTCCCCTCCCCTTTTGCTGACTGTTGCGAATGATAGTTGTAATCCAATCCATTAGGATGTTACCAGGTTGAGAAAAGTAATTTTAAAGCAAACAACCAAGTTAATTTGCTATCTCTTGAAAGTAGGGATTTTCTCTTTCTTTCTCCTCCCTGCCACATATATACATATATTTCTCCTTCTCCTTTTTCTGGAGTTGTTGTGTCCATGCTATGCCTCCACTGCTATATATAATCAGTTACCTGCAAAAATTGCTGACTGCATGCTTTGCCTGATTTCTGGCATCATTCTGGTCTTCACCACCTGCTACATAGAGAAATCCATCCATCACAGTGACACACTGGTTAAAGCTTTTGGCAGGCATCTCTGTAAGTCTTTTCCACCCATTGTCAGGATCTCGGTATAAAATGTCTCTGCTAAGGGATTTTTCTGTTAAAGCTGGACGTCCCCCAACTGTAACTAGGACTCGTAATCCTCCTCGAATCCTGGTTCTTCTTGACTGCAGAGTATTCTGGTGGTAAGGAAGTAAGTGGTAATTCATGGCATCTACCAGAAGTCTGTGGCAATCCGTATCTAGCATCATTCTTGGTACAGTCTGAACATAATTCACCAGGTCCTGGGCAGAGATGGTGCCAAACCGAATGTTGCTCAAAAGATCTGCAGCATACTTAGTTCTTTTTTGGTCAAATTCCAGCCATCTCATTGCAATCTGGAATGCAATAAGTTCAGAAGGCAACTGCAAGTCATCATCTGCAAGAAGTTCGTTGATCTGTTCAAAAGTCAGCTTTAAGAAATTATCTGATTCAGAAAACTCAATGAAGTTGTCTCTAATGAATTTCTGTGATGCTTCCTTAGCAGTTTTCAGTCCATATGTCTCTGCAATGTTGGCAACATACATGCAATTTTCTACATTGATTTCTTGCATGAGAAAGTCACTGCACATCTTCACAAGGGTATGTATCTGAAGATAAATGGCTGTGGAGATGATACTACCTATAGTATACAGGGATAGTGTAAGTTTTCCAGTATAGGCGTATGCAATCACAGTGGCTAGGCCCAGTGGGGATACGTCATTGAGGTCCACTCTTTGAGTTGATGGATCTTTCTTTAGGATGCTATGGAAGTAATCACTGCATGATGCCATCACCACCTTGTGAACATCAAAGGACTTGGTTTTGGTACCAATTATTAAATCACAGAGAAAATTTTCCATTCTCATCCTGCACAAACCTTCCAAGAGGTTGGGACTATAGAAAGCATCAGAAACTTCTGTGGAAACACAACTGAAGCCGTTGCCTCCTTCTAGGAAGGTATTCAATCCATTGAGCTTGCTGAGTGGCCCATCCTCCACTATGATGGTCAATTCATTGATATCTGTCTTGTTCTTTTTGACATTCTTCTTCTTAGGCGCCATGACTGCAATGCAATATCACAGCCAAGAGCTCGCTAAGAAAAACCCAGAACAAAGAAAAAAATAATTTGTACACCCATATTTAAACATCTTTCTACAACTGATCCCAAAGCTTTCTTATAATGTATAAGCATGCCTCAAAGAAATGAAATATAAAAGAGCACGAGAATAATTATTAATAGATCTGCAGCATTTGGTTGGTATGCCCATGTGGTTAATTATCACTTGGTAAATCATAGTTTGTATTTTCAGGACGAAAGCAGAGCATTTTTGCAGGAGTCTCCCCAGATCTCAATCCTGAATGCTGAAATGGATTTTTATTCAGTGTAACTTGTATATAAATAGGTCCTCTTGGTTGTTAATCCAAGTAACCTTACTAATAACCCAGCCTCAAATCCCATAGAATTAATCTGTTAAAAGCAACATGTACAGAGCTCCCTCCCTTTGCCATAGAAGTTACAGTACAAAGGTGGGCTGAGTCATAGGAATGTGAAGCCAGAGATGCTTGATCCTGAGTCTTGCGCACATGTTTACATTACCTCTTCAGCTGTAAGGATCGGAAAGGACTAACATCTCATGTTAATTTTCTAATAATTATTTGATTGCAAATTTGACTGGATTTTTTTCACATTGGTCTTCATTTCAGGCTAAATTGGCCTGGAGATCAGTGACTCCCGTACAGTCCTAATTTGTTTGAAAACAAAACCGACTAAATTAAACTATGACTCTATTCCAAATTACCAGTGCCAATTTGGTTATGGTGAAGGTGCTGGCCTACAAACAGGAGACTGTGAGTTCTTGTACCACCTTGGGCATGAAAGCCGGCAGGGGGACTTTGGGCCAATTACTCTCTATCAGCTCAACCTACCTCACAGAGCTGTTGTTGAAAAAAATAGGAAGGAGTATTAGGCATGTCTGTTGCTTTGAGTTGATCAAATATTTTTAAAAGATAGAATAAAAACCTAAAAACAACAACAATGTGGATGTTTGTTCATTAAAAATTATTTTTATCTTTCATATAAAAGGACAGATGGCTCCACTCCTTTCTTGATTGAAACCTATAGGAATGGAATTATTTTCCTCTAAAACATTGCTATTTGGATAAAGGCCTTGCAGCAGATGAGAGTAAGATAAACTGGTATTTTAATTGCTTTGAACTTCAACTCCTATCAGCCCTGGAAAGCATAACCAGTGGTGAAGAATTCTGGGGGCTATGATTTGAGAAAGGATATGATTGAGATATGTAAAACCATAGAAGGCAAAAAATGTATACAGGTTTTTTTTTGTCTATTACTCAAAATACTAGGATCAAGGCTCATCCAGTGAAGCTGATTGGAAGAATGTTGATCTGACCAACAGGACTATTCTTAGGTTTGAAGAACTAGATCAAACTAGCTAATTGCTTTTTGAATAAACACATGGGTTTCATTAGCAGGCCCCGATGACTATGTTTAAAGTTTAATGGATCATTCTACTTGAAGTAATGGAGGAATTAGTTCTCCATGTTAGAAGAGTTATTTGTCCTAGAATAACCTAGTTAATTTTCCATTGTGTTATATTCCATTACAAGCATCTTCTGAGTAGATGTCATTCTATTATTAAGTCTTGCTCTTGTGCAAATGGCATTTTTATGTTTCTATCCTATGCCCTCATATCTGGTTATGTATTAACATTTTGTTTGGTTGCTGCTTGACATTGTTTTAAGGAGAAAGTTAGAATAGTAATTAATAGATGAATTCTATGCCTGAGGTTACATATATTAGAAATGTATATAATATATGTAATCCTGAGTTATCTGGAATACAGGTTCAGGCTTACATAGCTACAGCTTAAATGCCTCCCAGAACTCTGTTTTATCAGATGAATAATCTCATTTTTAATTTTGCATTATCTTAAATAAAAAGTTTCGAGTATAATATTATGTTCAAAGTTATTTCTGCAACTGATAAGCTAAATTAGGTTTATGTTATAAGCTGCTGGTGTGTAAGATGTAAGTTTCCTAAAATGTCCATTGATTCGATCTGATTCCTGATACTGATTTTGATCAGCTTTAATGATTAGCTACTGCTTTTCAACTGTTTAGGGCTACTTAATTGCAAAATACAGAATAATAGAGTTGGAAGGGACCTTGCAGCCCTGCTCAAGCAAGAGCAGGGGTGGGATTCAACTGGTGTTACTACTAGTTCAGTGACTGCACACGTGTGTAAAAAAAACCTTAAACTTAATAAGGCTTCAAAACACAGATTTGAACTTTCTTTTTTCCTTTGTCTGATACTACCCCTGGAAGAGAAAGGGGGAATTTTGGCTTGGCTTGGATTGATTGAGGATTGTGGACTTTGTCTTGTTTTTCTTTTGGAATATTTTGGTTGGTGTGAAAAGAAAGAGGGAAAAAGAAAAGAAAAGATCTATAATGGCTTTTTCTTTGGAGGAACTGAAAAGTCTCTTCTTTCCTGCTTTTTCAACTGCAGCTATGCTGCGCAAAGCAGCAGAGGTTGAAAAAGCAGGAAATAAAGAACAGTTAAGAGCCCGGGCAGGCGAGGTGGGCCAAAAGAGCAGCAGACACAGAACCGGTTCTGTGTCTGCTGCTCTTCAGAGCTACCGGTTCTATAGAGCCGGGCAGAACCGGTAGCATCCCACCCCTGAGCAAGGGACCCTGTACTGTTTCAGACAAATGGACGCCCAGTCTCTTCTTAAAAACCTCCAGTGATGGAGCACCCACGACTTCTGTTCCATTGATTAATTTGTTCTCAATGTCAGGAAATTTCTCCTTAATTCTAGTTTGGATGTCTCTTTGATAAATTTTCATCCATTACTTCTTGTCTTGCCCTCAGGTGAGCATAATGAACTTCTCATTTTGTTTCATTGTCCTAGTGGAACAACGTCGTAAAATTACACGGAGATTTCTCAGTAATGGAAATGCTGGCATGGGAATCTGGGGAGTTGATCCAAACTTTTGAAGGGTGCTCAGTTTCAGGAAGACTGGTTTACATTCCTTTCTAATTGCTACTATGAGCAATATCTTGAAATACTTTACAATAAAAATAATTAAAATATAAACATGATTTCCAACTACTATTAAAATATAGTGTTTTCACACATTTGATGGATGTTAATTGGATTTTTATTTTAAATGGGCCAATGTTTCCAGTCTAGTTTTCTACCCCATTGTGAGAAGCACAAAAAACTTCATTCGGAAAACAGCCATCATCTCTCCAACAGACAATCCCATATGTAAACCTTAGGAAACCAAATATACAGACTCTACAATCTGCTATTTTTCATATTTCATTTTGGTGTTCAGTCAGTTACAGACTGAAACACCTGTCTGTAATGTTCTACAGGGAAATTGCAAAATTTTGGACAAGGACTGGGTTCAAATCTCCATTCAGCTATGAATCGCCCTGAATGGTCACAGGCCAATCACTCTCACAATCAGAGTAGTTTATTCTAGAGAAAGGACAAGAAATACCTTCTTGAGGAAATCTTGGAGTTCTATAAGCACCAAATATTTATTTTATTTATTTGATTTGTCAATCGCTTACAAGATAATAGGTAGAAGTATAAACATGAGTAAGAATACATGAGTAAGAATGAGTAAGAATAGGTATAAATAAATGGGGACAATAGGACAGGGACGGGAGGCACGATGGTGCACATGCATTTTATTTATTATTTTATTTTAAAAATAAATAAGTAACTGGTGAAATATAAAAGCAAATAGCATCGAAGTACCTACATAAGCACTTACATGTTGCAAGGAGGCATAGTGCCACAGTGGTAAATATAAAATTGTTATCTTATTTCCTGCAAAACAATCTCTAATGCAGTATTTCTCTCTTCTCAGGGATTTCACACTTAAGTCTTCAAACATGCCCCATTAAGCATTCTATCCATCCAAATGAAGAATTAAACTCTTTGGGAGGAGCATAGCTGCTCTCATAACTCCTCCCAAAGAACAGCTATGCAGGCACAAGGGAGAGAGCTATCTGTGTTCAAAGTGTCAAAGTTGCTGGCATTCCAAAAGGATCTGAGATCCCCCTTCCCAAGCATTACCAAAGCAGTGGGTTAGTTGCTCCTCCCCCCTCCCTTATCTCCCCTCCCCAGCCACATTCTTCAGGCTGCATCTGTTGAAATCTGTCAGGGCTATTTCCAAGAATAGCCATGCTCCCTGGCCTTTAAATGACTTACCATTTTAAGACACATTCAGTTTAAAATGTCTGCCTTTCTTCAGGACAGAATTCCTTTTTTTGCCCAGGTTCTTACAATAGGGAGTATGCTTAATTAAAAAAAAGTTAGATTAAGTCACTCTGATAGGATGAAATGCTTAACATACATTGGATAGTGTCCATTTAAATTTCCTCTCCTATTTTGCTAAGCCGGTATTCCTTTATATGTTAAAATATTCCCATCTTCATTCCTTTAACAACATATCAAAGAGGCTATTATTTTCACTTAAAGAAAACCCAAGTTAATCATATTTTTAAAAGGTAGCCTTTCATTGATTAAGTCATTCCACGGGGGACAAATGCTGGATTTTTGAAATCAATCAGCCAAAGGAGAGGAATTTCATCCAAATTAAATTGCACACACTCTGTAGGAAGAAATATAATTACAGAAAAATTATCTCTAACTTGATTTACTAAGGACTCTTCACACATATAACCGATCGTATTCTGTTCATAGCTTGCGTCTTCATGTCAGGTTCATGTCAAATGACACTTGGGCTATAAACACAGGCAGGAAAAACCCTCTTTATGAACGCTAATTAAAGCCAGACTCAAAAATAATAGGATTAGGTTGTCCTTACCCTTTTTCAGGAAAGAGGCTTCCCAGCACAGTATCTATGAGAATATCTTGTGAAAAGAAAAAAAGAGGGGGAAGAAGGAATGGAAGTCCAGATGTCACCTGCTTGGTTCTACCAATTGAAGATTTTAGTGTGACCTGCTGCCACCGAGGAGAAGAGAGACTGGAGTTTGCGCTTTAGGGCACTTTAAAAATGACCCCTCCTCCCATCCCTCCCTGTCACTCGGAGGAGCTTATGTTTCCTGTGCCTGCCTGGTTTTGAATCTCAAGTAAATTTTACTGGGCTTCTTCATGGCAAATGAAGCAGAATAAGAGGTAAGCAACAGGAAAGCTATGCTTCCCATTGCAGTTGTTTCACACCTGCAGCTGTGAACCAGCTTATAGGATCATTAAGTTTTTCTTTAATCTTCATCCCATCCTTTGAGAAAAATGGGATTTGGTAATTTAGCATTTTCTCTCCCTTTCTTCAAACTTCATAAACACAAGAACAACAGCTGGGAAGAACTCTCCCCCCCCCCCCCGCCCCCAGGACAACAAAGAAGCTGCTTTGCGGTGGCTTGTCCATCTAGCAGAGTATGTCTATTTTGACTGGTAGGGGCTCTTCAATTTCCCATCAGTCTGGCACCATCTGATCCTCTTGTTTTAACTGGAAATGCTAGAAATTAAATCTAGAGCAGGGTGTTAAACTCACGGCCTGCGGGCTGGAAGTGTCATGGCTGGCCATGGCCACACCTGGTTTAGTGAAGGGGAAAAAAGTTGCAATATGTCACATGACGACGCCCTGATCAAGACCTTCTTGATGCAGAGCTGATGGTCTGGTATCAAACAATGGTGTACTTTCCCACTTGAACCTACTGGGATGTAATTCTTAACAACCATGCATGGGCAAGTTCTGTCAATGTGCCAGTTTGTAAGTTTTGCAGAATCAGTATGTGATGCTTTATTATATCTTCCTGTTAAACAAAATGTTACCTGCAAAACGTTTTCCTTGTCACAAAGAGACAGATAAAAGAGGAAGAACATCAGAAATTCTAATGCAAACTCTGCATCTCTTCCTTAATCTCTTACATAATATGAACAGCCTTGGGCAAATAAACTATGCAACAAAGTACAAAATCTAGTCACACCTTGTGGAAAACAGCAGTGACATCCCAATGTCTGTTTATTCAGCAGTAAATTCAGCAGTAAATTCAGTGACATCTACTTGAAACTCCACAAACTTCGCCGTATCAGCTGAAATTGTATTAATATCTATAATTATAAATATATAGGGAAGAGGACTGGTCTTGCTCTGACAGCTGGCATGAAATGAAAAAACCACCAAACTGTTTTATTTTCCTCTTCAGCTGTTAACTCATTAATAGCAGCAGCATCATAAAAATACAGTCTATAAAATAATACAAGCATCTCCTTTTCAGGATGTGTGTTCCATTAACTTCCACACACATCTTCTGCTTATAGATACAACCTTCTTTTGTCCTTGTCATTTCTGAAAGACACATTTATTTAATGTAGACTCTTATCTATATATTTGGATGTACTTCATCTTGTTCTGACTTATTTTATATATTTATTCATTTAACTATGACATATGAAGCTTGAAAAATTCTCATCATCATACACAGAAAGTAAACTATTAATAAGTGGTTTACCCACAAGAAAAACCTGTGGAAAGAGGAGTGTTTCCACGCCCTGGTAGAATATCACTGGGGAAGTGGTTAAATGAACTTCTTTTGCTAAAAAAATGATCTATTTATTTATCACATTTACATAGCTCATAGTACAACTCATATATGTGACTCTGGGCAGCAGACCCAATTTAAACAAACCAGCTACAACTAAATAAGAAGACTATTAAAAAAACTGTCTACCTATCTATGTATCAGCCTGTCTGTCTGTCTCTGTCTATCTATCTATTACTGTAGAATTTATGTGGCTGCCCATTCATTGTCAATGGCTCTGGGCAGCTTACAAAAATAAAAACAAGATACAAACAATAAAAACAATAACCCCTCACTCCCTGATGTCAACAATCAATATAGACAAAACATTGGGAGAATGCATCCAAAACTTAATGGACATTTCTTTAGCTCCCTATTTCCATAGGATTCCCAAGTCTGCTGACAAAACTAAGTTTTAAGCAATTCCCAGAAGGTCAATGGGATTAGAGCCAATCTACCTCAGGGGAATGAGGTTCTAAAGGACAAGGTGCCATGGGAGAGAAAGCTCTCATTCCATCAGATGAAACTCCTTAGCAAATGGGATCCATAACATGCTTCTCCTGCCAGATTTGGGGGATGAGGAGATGTTTTTGAGATTGTTAAGTTGAAAGATGGGAATGGAAATGGCCAGTGGATCCAAGCAAATTATTATTAATCGCCTTGATATAAGAATTGGAACAGGAGACAAACCTGGTACATCCTGTATTCTCTTTCCACATTTATTTATTCAACTGGTACAATGAGTGGAGAAAAGGCAAGCTATATAATGTCTCAATGCTCATATCTGCAAATTATCAGGAGAGGAGAAAAGGAATGCCTATATATAATCAGTAGTATGCATTTGGGTGTTGTTCACGGTTAACTCCCTGAGTACATGGGTCAGCTTTCTGTCATGTGAATGAATGCCTTTGAGATGCATGAACTTCAATTTCCACAATTCCCAGCAAGAGTGGATAGCAAGGAAATTCTGTAACTTTGAGTTGAAACAACTGGAGGGTGCCATCCCTCAACCTGAAGATGGCTAGCACATGACTGCATGATGTGCCTATGCTCTTGTCACAGTTTCTTTAAATATATGCAACAGAAGGTAGATTCATTTACCAACATTATGGTAAATGTTATGTTTATTATTTATGTATGCATATTTGAAGAAAGTCTTAATGACACTGTAAAAGACTCACCTTGATTTTCCAGACAATTTCCCTTTGAACAGAAGGGAATGTGTCTTGCAATCCAGTATCTAGTTATGAAAATATTTTGCTGAAAGCAGTCAAAGAGATGGACTTGTTTACGATCAGGTTGTTGGAAATTTTTCCGGCATATGCCAGTGCCTACTGAGTGGCTACAGAAACCACAGGGATATGAGCATGAGGTTTCATGATAGCCAAGAATGTGTATCGGCACTTAAGGAGATCTTGGCAATACCTCATCATTCACAGGGCAATGCAGGTCAAGTGCAATGTGACTTCAAACGATGGCTGTTCTGAGAAACTCAGAATTGTTTACTCACAGCCATTACTACAAGTTAAGTTGAATTTCCATGGGAAGTGATTCCTGAAGATATACAAAATACCCTTAGTGTCAACATTAACCAACTGTGTTACAAACTGAGGGGATAGACAATCCTCTAACTTTTACCATATGTGATCTCAGGAGTAAGAGAATGACACTATTTGGCAAGAATTTGCCCATTTGGCTCAATATTTATCCCCCTCTCATGTCTATTGGGAGATATAAACTTCTTTTCCTTCTTAGAATTGGGCTTGATACTCTTGTTTGCTTTTGAAAGTCTCCAAGGCATTTAATAAATATTGCACATGGACTTTGGGTAGAATTGTGTTGGCCACATCTCAAAAATGGTATTAGTGTGCTGTTAAAAACAAAACAGATGATTAGAGAGATGATACCACTTTCTCTCAGGAAAAGTTACAATGGTAGCATGAAATTGAATTATGATAATCCTGTTTAAATAGCCAGAATCCTCACTCAACTAAAAAAATAGGTAGGAGAGGATCCAAATGTGTTGTTTGCTACAAAAAATAGAGTCACCCGGAGACTAATTTTGTAAGAATTAATCTTTTGCTTTGACTATTATAAGATCTGTCTTGACATAGCCCTACAAAGCCTTGGTCTACAGCAGGGGTGTCCAACATGCTGGGTGATGGATTCTGGGAGTTGAAGTTCACAGGTCTTAAAATTGCCAAGGTTGTACATCCTGCTCTACAGGATCCTAAATCTTCTCCAGCCCACTCCCATATTTCCCCAAAGGTGTAGATATTTAGACCATTGCTGTCCATCATGGCCGAAACTGAGTAAGAAAAACATAATAAGATTTTTCTTACTCACTTATATTTAGACTAGGTATTAAGATGGGCTATTTTAATTTTATCTATGTTGTTTCTCCCTACTCGTATCTGCTATAATTTAGCCAGAAGGAATTTAATTTTAATTTAGTATTTAGATTAGATATCTTACATGCTTGGAAGATATAAATACAGGAATTTGTATATTGTCTGTAAACATTATAATCAGAGGTGGTATTCAGCAGGTTCTGACCAGTTCTGGAGAACCGGTAGCGGAAATTTTGAGTAGTTCGGAGAACCGGCAAATACCACATCTGACTGGCCCCACCCCCATCTATTCTCTGTCTCCCGTGTCCCAGCTGATTGGCTGGGTCTTCTTTTGCTGCCCTGCACAAGAGAACGGAGCTGGAAAGCAGGTTAGTGGGGTGGGGAGGGAATGGAGATTTTACAGTATCCTTTCCCTGCCATGCCCACCAAGCGAAACCACACCCACCAAGCCATGCCCAGAGAACTGTTAGTAAAAATGTTTTAATCCCACCACTGATTATAATGTTAGGAAAGAATGTGCTATAGAACGGGAGTTTAAATAAACACAAACACAATTTAAAAGTCATAATGATGATATGTCTGTCCTGGACTCCCATCCTGCAGAAATATTTCAGGTGCCCACACAACCCAGCAACACTTGAAAAATATTTGGAATAAACTGGTCCACAAAATGGTGTTGTTTGTTTTCTTGTTTGTGGAATTTGCATCCAAAGTATTCAGTTATAATTGCAGCAGCCCTGTACATTATTTGGTTTGTTTCTTGCAGTAAGCTGGTGCTTATGTTTGATATTTTAATATTGGCATCTTTTAATACTTGTGCTTGTGGTTTCTTTTTAATGAGCTTCAATGCAGGCAAACTTATTTTGGTTTTTTTGTCCTGTTCTAGAGGCACTGTTTTAGTTTGTTTCATTTTTTAAAGATAACAGATTTTAGTTTTTCTGAGAAGAAGGTAGAAGAGAAGGTTGCTAATTTGGGTGTGAAAACAATTCCAAGCTGAACTGGCTTCCTCTACTGCTGACTCCCCTGGTTTGCATCTACATTCTGAGCTACTTCTGGCAAGACTT